TATATATAGTGTTTTTTCTCCCATTGCCAAGGAAGCCCTAGAAACGGAGAGTGGAAATAAAGGTGATGTCTCTCATAATTATAAAAATATCCCTCACTCATTTGCAACAGTTTTAATTCCAGTGTCTGCAACTTTGATCTCTGCTACTTTAAAAGTTTTAGTTTCCTAGAAGAAACACATCCAGTTTGGGATGAAACAGTGGGTCCCCTAAATCTGAAGGCACTCTTAGCTTCTGTAGACATTCAAACAGGTGGTTATGGTGTGCATGTTATAGAATGAGGACAAGGAGGAATATGGATGACAACTTGGGGTCTCCTAAGGTGCTGTCTTATACAATCCTGAGGGCATGCACAGCAGAGTACTGCAATCCTACCAACGATTGCCAATGGCTGACTCCTTACGAATGAAAAACTGAGAACCGCGCCCCCCCAGTAGGTAAAGCACACGAAATATGGAACTGATAGAGAAGTCAGTCACAAATAACAGCTATGTCATGGCTTGAGCAGAAATAAGGACTGTACCTTCTATCTGTATTTCCATACTTACTGCCATTTAAAAAAAAACTCTCACCTCTTCTTTAGTATTGTAAGTAGCATAGAGTGGTGCTGCTGCTGATGAATTCACCATTTACGTCATAGGATTGTAGAATATCAAGGAAGGATAATGGCAGAGCTAGAGAAATAAGAGACATCACTAGAAGAACTTAAACTACAAACAGAGGTTCCAGGACCTCCCCCCTCTGACTATGGTAACTGGACATGGTTTGTTTGTGTTGTCTCTCTCTGGGTAGTTCTTGGCTGTACATGGAGTAATTCAATTATGCCAGGAGGGGGCATTTTTGGATTCAGTGAGAAAAAGGTGTTTGTACATGCTAAGAACACAAATAGAAGGTAATTATTATCTATAATACTTTGCTGTGCACCTACCTTCCCTTCCTTTTGGTAACTGCCGAAAATCACAGAGATTTGCTTTTTCTGACCACAAGAGTACTTGGGATGAAAACACAGGTGATGGAAAGACATTAGTACTCAGTAGAGCCCTTGAATATGGGATATTCTCACTTATTCTGGAGCCTCTATGTTTTAAGACTTCAGTTGCCTTGCCCAGAATCATTCAGATTCTTTGGTTCATTGAAATTTGGCTTACAAACTAGACTTCTAGGTTCCCAAGCATTTTTCAGGAAGCATTTGAAATGAAGCTCTTAGATTTGCAGTAAAACTACTGAAAGTGGAGACTTGTGGTAAGTCATGTCTTGAAAGAATGTTTATAAGTCTCTGACCACTCCCATCCTTATACAGGCATATGTCAAACTTACCGTGGGTTCTGTTCCAGACCACCTCAAGAAAGCAAATATCGCAATAAACGAATCATAATCTTTTTTCCTGGTGGAGGGTCTTATTTTCAATTTCTAAGAGATGCCCACATCTGTAAAGTACAGTGAAACTAAGTATGTCTGTACTGGGAACTTGGATTCTACAGATGGTCTCTCTGAGTTGCTGGCAAAGGGAGCCAATGCCAGGAAGTCATTCTGGTGACCAGAACCAGTTTGAGTCTGAAGGTAGTTAGGAAACAGTGGAACTGCTTCCCAGGAAGGGGGTCAAGGATTACAACACAAAGCCTGGGTCATAGACCAGCCTGAAGGACTCCAGGGCCTGGGATTTCCCTGTGTGCATGTAAAATCAAAAGTTTGGTGGTACCAGGAGAACACCTGGAGGCAAGAATGGGGAAATGAGAGTGAAGGTATAACAACTATGCCATGTAAGAGATTAGCTCCCTCACATTTGGTGATTTAAAGGGACTGCCTCTTTAGAGAATCAGGAGTTAAAGGGCATTCGTTGTTGCTCTAGGGTAGTGATAGCAGTAGCAATGCTCAAGGGAACTGTATTGAACTCCACTGTTAAACTTATGCCAAAAGTTACCAGAGATTCTCATCTCATGAAGGTTGTTCAATTATGGAATATAACAGGTTAATAAATTTAAGGATGAGCCCTGGCTGGTGTGCCTCAGCAGACTGAGTTCTGGCCTGAGAACTAGAGGGTCGCTGGTCCAACTCCCAGTCAGGGCACATGCCTGGGCTGCAGTCTTAAACTTAAAAAGTTTAAGTCCAGGTACACAGTAGGGGGCGCTCAAGAGGAAACCACACATTAATATTTCTCTCCTTTTCTCCCTCCCTTCCCTCTCTCTCTAAAAATAGGGGGGAAGGGATTTCAGAAACAACTATAAAGGGCACCAGGACAAAACAGGACAAAACCAACAAAACCAAGACAGGGGTGGAATCAGGGGAGAGAAGTGGGGATGGCTGGGGTGGGGGGAAAGTAGTGGGGGTAAAATTCAGACAACTGAACTTTAACAATAAAATTTAAAAAAAGAAAAATTTTTAAAAATAAATAAATTTAAGTGTCCCAGGTTCGATTCCCAGCCAGGGTACATTCCTGGGTTGCAGGCCATAACCCCCAGCAACCGCACATTGATGTTTCTCTCTCTCTCTCTCTCTCTCTCTCTCTCTCTCTCTATCTATCTCCCTCCCTTCCCTCTCTAAAATAAATAAATAAAATCTTAAAAATAAATAAATAAATAAATAAATTTAAGGATGATGTAGTTTCACTAGCTGTCTTTTGCGGGGTGGGGGTGGGAGTGGGATGAGAGGAATTTTACCTGCAGTGAATTAGAGAAAATGATTTGAAAAGTGAAACAAAAAAACCCAGAAGCCTGTGCTTTTGCAAATTAAATTTTCAACTCTGTTTAGAAATGTATATACTTGATCTGCTAATGGGTAAAAATCTGTCTTCTGAGGAGAAAGTCATACACACACACACACACACACACACACACATATATATATATATATTTCATCTGGCTCACCTCTGTTAAATTCACTCCACCTGGATAAAATATAATTACTTTTTTTACGGCTACAAAGTATTCCATTTAAAGATATTCTATTATTATTTAACCAAGCTCCTATTATTGTACATTTAGTTTACTCCCACTGTCTTGCTTTCTGTCTAATACTGAAATGTTAAGAACCCTGTGTAAACATCATAGGGCAGTTATCTAATTTTTAAGTTTTAAAAAATTTATCAAGAACTACTACAAAGGACACATGGACAAAACTGGGGCGGGGGTGGCAACAAGGGAGGGAGGCAGGTTTGGAGGGGGTAGGGAGAAAATACAGACAATTGTAATTGAACAACAGTAAAATAATTTACATTTTAAAAAATTATCACATTTTCTTTTGCTTTTACCTTACCTCTGACATTGTGGAGATTTGCTCATGCAAAGTTTCATAGAGTGAGGAAGCTCTGGGCTATCTAAAGATTACTGGCCATTTTTAGTTTTAAAGCATTTCCTTATTGTTAATTGTTTGCTTGGAAAGCAAGGAAATTCTATTTTGTGTGATCATTCAGGAACATTTTAAGATATGCATACAATATTGTAGCAAAATAGGAAGGCAGAATCTAACCTGGCCCCACGTGCCACTCTCCAACTCCCCTGCCCCCAAATTTCTTTCTAATTGCAACAAATTTGTTTATTTTTCTTAATTTTAAATAATTTATTGATTGATTTTAGAAAGAGAGGAAGGGAGAGAAATATGGCTGCAGGAGAGAAATATTGACCAGTTGCCTCCCTTACGCACCCCAACTGGGATCAAACCCTGTAAACAACCTACACATGTACCCTGACCAAGGATTGAACCAACAACCTTTTGGTGCACAGAATAATGCTCCAACCAACTGAGCCATGTGATTGTGGCCAGGGCATAAGTGAAGTAAATTTATTTTAAAATAATTTTTAATTTTTAATCAAAGCAATATGTGCACATATACTTTTAAAGGCAAATATATATATGTGAAAAGCAGTAAATACAAGCCTATCCCTTTCAACTCTTACTTCCCAACCCAGAGGCAAAACTTACACATGCCTGTTTAGTGATCACCTCAATTTTTAATAATATGCTGTTATTACTATTTCTTGACTTGATGACGTGAAGAATTTTGTGCTGACTTTCTGCTGTCCCCTCCACTCTCCTCCTCACTCCATTTGGTTGTATCACTATTTAACTCTTATATTTGCTACCTCACTCATTTTAATATAATCACTAAATCTGTCTTATTCTTTTCTAATTTTTTATTTTTCAATTACAGTTGACATTCAATATTATATTAGTTTCAGGTGCACAACACAGTGGTTAGACATTTATGTAACATGTAAAGTGGTAAGTGACCCCCCCAATATTCTATGAGCTAGAGACAATATCTGGACTTCCCACTTAATGAGAAAACACTACTATTTCATTTCCTCCCCTCTGCCAGTACTTGTACACTATCAAAGTTGGTGATAGTGCATCCTGTTCCGTACCTGTAATCATCTTCCCAGCTTTGCATAGAGATTTACTCTAAAAATGGAAAACTACAACTAATATTTCCATTGTAACAGTCACTTAAATATTTTTCACTGAATAGCAAAGTCAAATGCTATGACTTGATTTTCTCATCTGTGATTGCAGTCTGGATTGCCAATGTTCAAGAAGATTCCCTTTTACACACTTCTGCCAACTGTTCAGACCAGGTCACATCTGAGGTTGCTTCATATTTGAAGCATGCTTTCCTTGTACAATTTGAAATGTTTCCCTGTAGTTCCTGTTTACCGTTGTTTTTTTCTTTGGGGATGAAAGAAATGAATGACTTCCAGATCATGTCATTTTAATTTTCTCCACCTTCTAACTCCATCTGTCTATTGTTTAGAATCCATTTCATTCAGTTGGAAGTCTATTTAGCTTTTATTCTAATTTGGAAAATTCGCCTCTTATTTGGAGCATTCTTTTACAGTTTATATTTATTTAAGTTGTTAGTAACCTTTCTTCTTTCTTGTCCTTAAGGCATCCTGTCCCCATCGTCATTTCCTAAAGTTTGTGCTGTTTTTTGTTTTATGGATGCAAAAGTTTTTCATTTATTTTTTTAGGTTCTTTTCCTTAAATTATCCAGTTCCTTGAGAGTCAACTTTTCGTTATATCTTAGGCTTTGCTTTTTTGGTTATATTGAAGGCTTTCACAGTAAATCATGATTTCTAGCCGCCCATTTATATTAAAAGATGAGTCACTGGAAACACAGACCCGCAAAGTCTGCATGTGCTAGTCCAGTTGGTGGCTTTGCTCTAGGGAGGGTGAGCTGGTGGGTGGAAGTCAGTCATCCTGCAGGGAGCTCGAGTCTGCCACAAAGTTAGTTAATCTAAATATGTACCTGCAGGCGGACGTTGAGAATCACGGAGGCCACGACGTAGAAATAGGGAAAGTTCATGCGCAGCCGCCAGGCCAGGTTGAAGAAGATGAGCAGCGTGCGTGTGAGCGGCTTGCAGAAGGCGCGGTAGTAGCCGCAGGCCACTGCACACCGCGGCACTCGCACCGCCAGGCCGGACAAGGTCGCTGCCGCCGCCATTGGTCTGATGTAGTGTCCCATACAGTGCACAGAGCCCAGGGCCTCCAGCTGGCTCTGCAGACACACTGACCCACGGACAGAGGGGCAGACGCGGGAGGAATTCTTGCGGGAGGCCAACTGGGCAGCCCTCTTTTCCCCTGCAGCGCTCCAGGGAAGGCAATCGCTGGGGCCCACCTGACAAAGTTTGTGTTGGGACCCCCTTGGGGCGGGGAGGGGCGGGGCGCCAGAAACCATGCGATCCCCCGAATGGGGAGGGCTGCACTGGGGAACAGGAGGCCTGGGATGGGGCAGGGAAGCAGGAGGGAAGGGGGAGGGGCGCCTGGCTTATCAAGGTGATCTAGCTTTGTGAAGCTGATGATCCTTTTTAATATTTTTTAATTTTTTAATTTTAAGGGGAGCAAAATGAAACTTGCTCAAAACGGTAGACAATGCCCTTCACAAGCACAATCTTGAGCAGCTTGAAGCGTGAACCCATTTCCTATTGCTTCAAATCCCTTTAGGAACTTTTCCAGGGCTCAACTGTGGGCCATTACAAACATACAAAAGCCTACTACTCTCTTGAACTTTAAAATATATGCATTTTGTTTTAATGACTCAAGAGACTTTCTGGTTTTTGTTTTAGATCTTTGGTAATCTAATGGGAACAGTTGTACAAACAAATTTTTATAAATTGTCAACAGCACCAATAATTAGAACAATGGAAAACAAATTTCCTGCATAGCTTCACATTCCCCACCCCACCCCCTCCGTGAATGCAATTCCGTTTCCTGTATATACTTTCAGACTTTATGTTGATATATTGCTCTTACCACATCAATAATATACGCCTACCTCACTCTCTTTGACAACTGATTATTACACCTATATATTCGGACTAAAAATGTTCAGTAATTAACTAGTCCCCTATTGGGCATTCTGAATGCTTCTAATTTTTCTATGCCAAAAGTGTTTTAGTGTACACCATTGTACACATGAATTTACAAGTATCAGAAGAGTATGAGTAATAAGATCCCATCTTTATTCATAAAGAATCACATAAACATATATATTTAGGGTACCAAATCAAAAAGTTTTACTAATTATGTGGTCCATCAAAAAAGTGTATAGTGACCAGGGCTCTATACAGCATTGCGTGTCCATTTTGGAAATTTTTCCAATATAATAGGCAATAAGTATGTTTCATTATTCTAATTTGCATTTTTAAATTATCAGGGAAGCTGATCAACTTTTCTAAATTTCTTAATTTTTCAATATTGTTTTACTGATTGTAAATCATTAAAACATTATAAATACATATATGAGTATAGTAAAATTCTTAGGATCATGTTATATAGAACAGAAAGAGTTTGTCTACCAGGCACCAGCAGAGCCAAGCACTGAACACTGAGGATTGAAGTGGAGAAATATTTTATTGATGAATGGCACCATCCAGCAGAATGTGAAGCTAATGCTCAAAAGCCTGAACTCCTCCAACTCTTTGAATGGCATGTAGGTTACAGATTATGGAGGGCAAAATCAAAGGACACTGTAGGTTAGGGGTTCAGAGTGTGCTGGGCACTGATTGGTCAGAGGTGAGTTTGAGGACAGCTCAGGTCCGCTGCCATCCCTCTGTCTCATGGGGTCAGTCCACTTTAGGGCTATTGTCTTCTGCTCTGTCAGGGGTTGCATGTGTGCATGTACAATGTCGAGATTAATATCCATGGGTGTATATCTTTGTATACTTCTCTGATATTTCCTTGGGATACAATGGAAATCTTGGATCAAAAAGATTTCATCTGTTTAAGGATTTTGTTACATATTGTCAAACTGCCTTCCACACAGCTTGTATTGATATACCCACAAATTCTCTCAACTTTCCCAATAATGGGCATTGATAGTCTTTTAAATCTTGTACATTCTGATAGGTGAAAAATATATCTCACTGTTTTAATGTGCATGCTTTGATTACTGGCAAGGTTACATATCAATTATATGTGTATATAGCTTTGCACATTTGTTTTTTAAAAATATTTTATTTATTTATTTTTAGAGAGAAGGAAAGGGAGGGGAAAGAGAGGGAGAGAAACATCAATGTGTGGTTGCCTCTCATGCACCCGCAACTGGGGACCTGGCCCACAACCCAGGCATGTGCCCTGACTGGGAATCAGTCTGGCAGCCCTTTGGTTTGCAGGCTGGAGCTCAATCCACTGAGCCACAACAGCCAGGACCCTTTACTCATTTTTATATTAAAAGTTTTACCTAAAGCAGCCTGAAAATGATAAAATCTCAACCATAGCCCTAGAAGAAGCATAGAGCAGAAAAGCTGGCTTAAGGTAATGCATTAACCAAAGGAAATCCTCCTACCCCTCAGCACACACTAAATATAAAATAATAATATGCCAAATTTATTGCCTTTAGGATATTATACACAGCTTCTGGCTCTTCTTTCCCAGAGTGCATATATCTTGAGTCTTCTATCTGAAGCACCCACTCTTAATATATGGGAGAAATATATATTTTAACTGCTATATTGGTCTAGAGAGGTAATAGATTTAAATTTAATTGGAGGTTTTTGTAGTAGAAGACATTGAACACAGGTGTTTACTTTTCCAAAACAAATAGAAATAATTATAAAGAAATGCAAAGTAAATTCATCCATACAATTAGTGAAAGGATGAAGATAATGGACCAAAAGTTTGATAAATTACTGAAATGAATGCAGATTAGCTCAAACTGAAGAATAAATCATAGTGGAGGGCATCACAGCCCAACAGATGTCTGGAACAGCTGCAGCAAAAGAGCAAACCATTTTCACTGAAGAATATAATATGATATAATCTTATTGCCTCTTTCGTATTTTACTACATTGTTTAAATTTCTTGAAAATGAACACTGAAATCTTGCTTAGATTCCTATATGAGCACTAACTTTTTTTGTTCTACCAATTTTTTATAAATTCATTGTTTTTCTTTGTCTGAATAGTGTAAAAAGGGTGCCTAGTTTGATACATTTTTGAGCCTCATTTTATGATCTGAGCATCATAATAATCTTCATACATGGCATAATCCAAGGCTATTCAGGTGTTGGAAAAATATATGAATTAGATTGAGACAACATTGCACTGGATCATGTGTTTCTATAGATTCATCTTTAGGAGCCACCATTGATGGCATCAGGAATAGCAAAATAGTTCCAGACCAGTTACATCCACATGAGTTTTTCTGTTTCATAATACATGGAAGGGGATTACAAACTCAGCAGCAAGTTGGATTGCCAGTGCAGCTGCTGTTTGAATTGGGTGGCAATGCTGGATCTCAGGGACAAATGTGGGATTAATTGCCCCACTGCATCCTTGTATTTCCAGAGGAGTAAAGTGTTCTCTCCCAAAGTACTGGACTGAGCACATTCCCTCCACTGCTGCATAATTGGTGTGTCCCATCCCAACTTCATCTTTTCTCCAGTCCCCCACTACTTGCATTCAGACCTTTTGTCTTGATCATTGTCAAGAGATCCCTTTATGAAAACAGCTGCATTTAATGACCAAATTGCCTCTACTGTGTGTGGACCAGAGGAAGCAGAGTCAGAAATCATTCCAACGCTTATCAGTACCAGATACTAATGAAGAGTGGAAAGTTCATTACATACTTTGACTATTGGTCAATTACTGGGTGACACAAGTAAAAAAGTTGCACCATTTGTCAGGCTGAAAACAGGTTGGAGAGCTGAAAACATGACACAGATAAGACACACAGAAACCACAATGGTGTGGTGGGAGTCAGCTGATTACACTGGAACAACAACAGGCAACCTCAAAAAATTTCAAAAGTGATGAGACTATCAATAGCACTGAGGGAGACAGTCCAAGGTCTGATGTAATCAATCAGTCAGGAGCAAGGATGATCAATGTTCCATCTGTGGGTAATAGTCACAAGTCTGATGTATAGTAGTGGTTTCTGCATCAGAAACAGAATCCTTTACTTTGTGCCCAGTCCCTGATGGCAGATGTGATGGCAAGCTGGGCAGTGCAGGTTTGATCAGCAGCTTGATTTTAGTTGGTCTTATCAGAGAAAAGACATTTACTGTGGACATCTTTTTAAGTACCCAGAAATTCCATCAGCATCCATACTTTATTTGTAGTTTATGATCCCCAAAGAAGTGTTTTTATTCTTCTAGTCTGTAGTCTTTCAAGTGGCAGATCAAATAGCTAAGCCATTGGCAACAGCCTCAGGGTTAGTAAAAATACAACAAGTTTCATCAAACAGAGGGTCTGGACTTAAGAGAATGGTCTTAAATTCTGTCCATTGACCAGAAGTGTGATAACACTGAGGTCATTTTCTGACAGTCAATCACCAGGACACCACCTATACAGTGGAAGCTTTGCATATCAGAGGATAAAAGCAATCACACTAAGTGCTTCCCCCCACCACACACACAAACATACACTGTTAGCAAATGGCAGGAGAGTTGGTCCAGCATTTCTCTACTTAGGTCAGTACCCTCAGTGGGAGAAATCTCTGCTTATGAGCATTTACAGTACAAGCATTTAGCACATTGAGTTTCTTATACATTTTCACAATAGTAGATTGAATTGTTACAGAGGGCATCATCCACAATGTCACTTAACTTTTCCTTCACTTGAGAGTTTTACTCAAACCCTATCAGTTGAGTCAAGGTTGTGTTCCCTACACAAACCAAGGAATTTAACACCTCTCTATTTCAGAAGTAAACAGCAGCTCTGGGTAGTTCTGAGCAGAGGAGGAGAGAAGAGGTGGAGCAGACAAATCTGCAGGATGCCAGCCTGAGGGGGATGGTTGGAGGCTTTTTCTCCTTTGTCTCCTAGCCCCAGGAGGTACCTGCACCTGGAGCCTTCCTTTCTTCCTCCTCACATACCACAGCTACCACAGCTTTACACTGGATGATACCTCAATGCCATTGGCCACCTCTGATCTCGGCTCTCTCTCTCTTGCCACAATACAGTCAGAAGAGTTTAAGTGCTTCCCCTTGCAAATTCCCCTACATTCTGTTTTTTGTTGTTTTTTTTAAATTCATTTTTAGAGGTGGGGAAGGGAGGGAGAAAAACATCAATGTGTGAGAGATACACCGATTGAATCGGTTGCCCTCTCACCCAGCTCACAAC